CAGAAAGTATAGTGAGCAGGAGAATGACCCATCAGACTTGATTTTAGTGAAGATAATGTTGGAAATTGTACAGAGACAATGCGAAATTAACAGCAGGGAGAAGACCTGTAATTGTCCGAACAATAGACAGTGAGTTATTTTTAATCCGTAGCAATACCTTATCAGTGGATTCTGGAGCAACCTAGGAGGAGGACTAAGAAGAACAGGTAAGTGGATGAAGATAAGGGAGGGGGTAAGTCAAGACTGACACCCAGGCTTGGGTGAGTGGATGGTGGACCTTTAACTAAGGTGAGGAAGAGGAGGAGGAAGCTGATGGTAGTGACCAATGAGGTTGGTTTTTTCCTTTTTTCGGGGGTGGGTGGGTGGTACTTAGGCTTACTCATTTATTTAATGGAGGTACAGAGATTGAACTCAGGACCTTGTGCATGCTAAGCATGCACTCTACCCTGCTATATCCTCCCACAGAGGTTGGTTTTAGTTATGTAAAAGTTGGGGTCCCTGGAGGAAACCTGGAAAGGGATATGAGAGAGGAAGATGGAAGTTTTGAATCCAAAGTTTAGGAGAAAAGCCTTAAGTGGAAATGGAGCCTTCCCTGCCTGGGCTGTAGGTTATAGCTAACACCAGAGAAATTAATCAGATGTCCAAAGGATGATACGGGGGTGTGGGGGGATGTGAAGGGGAATGGTTAACAGTGCCAAGTGATAGAGAAAAGTCAAGTAGGGTACAGCCCACAATGTGGTGACCAGTGGAAATGGCAGTTACAAGATGGACTGGAAGATTCTGTAGCCTTCGGTCAGCCCCTGGGTTACTGCGTCATTTTGTACAACCAGTACCTCTTCTCCAACTGACCATTTCCTTATCCATAAATACGTATAATGCTGAATTAAGATGCTCCACTTTTGGGAATGGTCTTCACCCCACTATCCAACATTTATAACAACTTAGCTATTTCTACTAGCCATGGCTTTCCGGACCACAAGTGGACTCCTGTCTCACAGTGTGCCAGCTGGAATCTCTTTTTGTCTCTTGAAGAGAATACAGTTAGACTGTGTTAACCAGTGGCGCCATAAAGCTCTGTAAGGTTGGGATCAACCATCTCATATCACCTATGATTTAATTTTATGGGGGAACCTGGATTACGTAAGAATGTAAGTTTGCCTTAAATCAATACTATTCACTTGCTTTAAATATGGGAGCTGGGATGATTTCCTCCAAATCAAGTTCCCTCTTGAGTTCCGTCCTCCATACAAAAGCCCCAATCAAGTAAACTGTGTCTCCAGCCTCTGATATACCATGTCCTTCCTCCTGCCCTCCTCCCCTACACCTGCTTTTCTCCAATCATGCCACTCACAGAAAATCACCTTGCTGAACTGCTGCAAGCAATGACTCCTGGAGGTGGAAACAGAGGCCTGTGCTAAACTGAAAGAAATATTGGAAACTGGGGTTCTCTGCCTGCTGGGAAACAGCCCCTAAAGTCTAGCTTGCCCGTGTCCGCAAAATCCTA